GGCAGGGTGATGGGGTTGCTTTGAACAGGGTTTCTTGACGTTTGCTTTACTACAGCATTGCTGGATAAAATTGATTTGGAAATCAATTAGTTAGTTGCATATTTATTTATTTACTTAATATTATTATTATTTTATCTTCATGATTATTTACTTACTTATTTATTTATTTATTGGCCTCTCTTATTCTAGTTTTTCCCCCTAAAGCCCTGCCCCCTTTTGTCCTTCTAGAAATTGATCTGAGAAAAAGATTTTATGCTCACCAAATTGTGACTGATCATGAGTGGTTCGATTTCCTCAGGAAACATTTAATGCATGCTTCGCAGATGGACATCTTCTTTGGAGTAGAAAATACCCCTTTGTATCCACGAAATATTCCTGATGCACCAACCTTCCAGATGAATGCAAGAGGCAGCGCAGTGAATAGTGCTGATCATGTTGTTGTTTATGAAAACACGGGAAAGTTTGGATTTTTTGCAGGTGCAAGAGCTTGGTGGCTGTTTAAGGTGAGGATGTTTTTAGGTTCATATCTTTAAGTTGGATCTATATAGCAAATCTGCAACAGTAGCTTCAAAGTTATTCCCCTTTGATATCAAGCCACCTCAAGCTCTGTAACAGAATTAATTTTTCTTACACATTAAAAAAATTAAAAAAAAGTTTAGGCCAATATTACGGTAGGTTAGCATTTATTGGGGTTTGTTTCCTACAGTTATTTAATTGCTAACTAGAATGCTATTGTTTGTTAAAACTTGGCACTAATTAAATCATGATGTTAGCTTGATAAAATTTATCAAACCTTGGACATTTGTTCTCTATAGAATATTCTTTAATCAACTCAGCCCTATTAATTGGCAAGCTTGTAGTAAATCTGAACTGATGAATTAGGATTAACCCTTTGTCAAAAATGTTACAATTATTTAAATTAAATTTTCACAGCTGTTTGGACATGAAAATGTTTCAGTTCTGGATGGAGGTTTGGAAAAGTGGATTGCTGATGGACATGAAACAACAAATATCATGTTCAAAAAAATGGTAATAATTGCTTTTTAAGCACCAACCACCATTACAAAAATGTTCCTCCAAGTTGCTTCTGACTTTCAGTTAAATGCATGGAAGTTTTGTAGGATGAATGAAATTTTGTCTGTAAGAGTTTATGAGTATAACCTGGATGAATGCAGCTGACCATGACAGCCAAATGACCATGGTCTGGTCACTTTCCGGGTTATTCAAATAAGAAATGGGAAATACCTTAGTTTCTGTTAGATTGAAAATAAAAGTAGTGTAAGGAGTTTCTGCAATTTTCAGTTCAGTTTTCTTGAAAGGGTGCTTCTTAACCCTTTCACTCCCAAGATCTCAATAGAAATTCTCCTTACTGTCTGCGATACAATTCATATGACATAAGTTCAGAGAATTTGGTACTGTATCAACTAGTTATCCCCTAATTGATATTTTCCTCAATTCTTATCACTTGTCTGATAGATATTGTAAAAATATTGATAGATATAGCTCTTTGGCATATGAAGCTCTGCTTTCACGTCCAAATTGAGCACTGTGGGATAAGTCATTGTCACTAGCATTGTGCAAAGCTTACTAGGCTCTTCTAGTTTGAGCACTCTGGCATGGCTTAGACGATACCACAAGTGTGGGATCCTTTGGGGATCCATATCGGTTCTCCCCCATCCTAGCATCAGCACTGCACTGATGAGGCCCAGAAAGCTGAAACAGTACTGTCTGTAGTTAGTATTGATATATTATTACATGACTCGGGCAGTCAGAGGGCCAATAACTAAAATCAACCAATCAAAATACTCTATTGCCGGTCAATATTATCTCAGTATTGGACTGGGCACTCTCCCGAATGGTCCCGAATGATACTGTACTTGTTTCCCTTTGAACTTCAGTCTTATAATAAATCTCTTATTAACCAAGCTTGCTCGGGACCGTACTGGAAGAATATAGGCCCTCAGTCTTTTTTGTATGGACCTCACTGCACTCGGTCCATACTGTCAAGACCTGGGGCTGATATTCTCCCAGTACAGCCCTCGCACTTGGTTAATAAGATATATGTAAAGAGAAATTCTGTCTTGGTCACTCATAAGAGTGGAAGGGTTCACCTGTTATACCTTAACATCAGTATGGATATTCACCATGATAATCTCTATACAATTCAAACTGACTAAAATGAAACACACATGATTCCCTGTTAGACAGGGAATCATTTGTGTTTCATTTTAGTCAGTTTGAATTGTATTTTGCTCTACATTCAGGTTTACTGAGCACTTTCTAGCAGCATTAATTTTACAACAATGCCCCACAATTGATAATCTCGATCTACCCATTTCCTAGGGTGCTGACAAGAAGAATTTGTAAGAGTTAAGCCGGAGTATCTTCAATTAGTGATCATTTCCTCTATTCTCATGACCTTCATGTATGGATTCCAGGGTGATATTGTAAGGAGAAATTCTGAAGCGCAGTGGCGGATCCAGGGGGAGGGTCCGGGTGGTCCGGACCCCCCCTATCAGACCTGACGCTTAAAACTTTGAGAATTAAATTCTTACATCGACAGGATCATATATCCCTTTTTAACTGGCTGATTTTTTTAATTAATGAATCCAAGTAAACGGTAAGTGGCAAGGAATTATAACGAGCAACCGCGACTGGTGGGATGGGGTGTGGGGGGTGTTGGGGAGAAGTAATTTGCCTCAAAAGAGTCCAACAGTCCTTTCTGAACCAAAGTTTAGACCCCCCCAATCAAAAATTTGTGGATCCGCCCCTGAAGTGGTCAAAGTGTTAAGCCCAATACCCAACCCTAATACCTTTTCTGCTTTGAAGACCAATGGAATGGAAACATAATCCATTCGAGCAGACTTGATAGTACTTGAATTTAAATTGTATCTAAATTATGAATGACATTTTTTTTATCATGTAGGAGGGTGATTTTACAGCAAAGTTGACTCCAAGATGGCTAAAGAGGTTTGAAGACATGAAAGAAAACCTTACATTGCAGAAAGTCCAAGTTTGTGACAGCCGAGATCCTAGCTTATTCATAAGATCAGCCAATGGTACTGTATTTATCAAAATCATTTTGATATCGCATTTGAAGTTCAAATGCACCTTGAACTTAATTTGGTATAAGCCTCCCCACTTTTGATGGGGAAATGTTTTGGATACAAAGATTGAATTTGAATAATCAAGGGTTTTGTTTTGTAGATCCCAAGACTGGCCATTATCCTGGTGCTGTGAATATTCCCTTCCCTAGGCTGTTTGATCCTGAATCTAAGAGTCTTAAAAAACTGGATGACTTGAAGAAAGGTAATGATAATATTTAAAAATAATACAGGGGCAGTTAATAATAATAATAATTTTATTTAAAGTCGATAATGTAGGAAGGGGTTGCCCAATCTTCCAAGCCAGTGGCTCATGTGAGAAACAATCGACAACTAAATTTTAGAAAAATATACTATATAAACAAAAAATTTAATAATCAATAAACTATATATATAAGCATATCTATGTACATTAAAGGACTGTTTACCTAAAAAACTAAAAATTAAAAAATTTTGATTATTATAAAAAGAAAATAAAAAAACCTAAATTAATCTATGAAGAATAGGAGTGGCATGTATAACCTGTTCAGTGAAACAGTAAATAGAACATGTAGGTTTGCTGATAACCATCACCTGTTTTGCATGTTTTTTTTGTTTTTTTTTTAATTTATTTTAAGTTATCAGATTTATATAGCATAAACAAATTAGCAGTACTTAGGTTAATTAGTATTTAATATAGAATTTAACTGAGTATTAAGTCTTTTTTATCACCTATCATACTTTGTAAGAAATTTTCAGTGATTATTTTATTCAGTCCCCACCCTTACAATTTTTATTCACTGTTGATACCAGGTCGAAGAATTAAACAAAAATGATTAAATTAAATATTAAAATATCTAAATTTCAGTAGACCAGGTTAAGGTGAATTAACAGTTTGTAGCATGTCAGACATTTTCTTGATATTGCTGATAGTATTTAAAAATAATGAACAAACTGTAAAAAACTGGATTATCCTATAAGTAAATTAAACACATTTCAAATTTTTTGTAAATAATTTTCTTTCTTTACAGTTTTTATTGATGCAGGGATTGACCTCAGCAAACCATTGATAGGCATGTGTAATAGTGGCATGTCATCTTGTTCTTTGGTACTCGCTGCCCATCTCTGTGGATGTCATGAAGTGGCAGTTTACCATGTGAGAAGTTAATAATAATAATAATAATAATAATAATAATTTATTGATTTATAGTGCACCCTTTTAACATACTAGGTGATCAAAAGCGCATCAAAAAGTTTAAATCTTACTTTTTGCAACACAAGTTTGGGGGAGTTATGTGAACAAAGTCACTTTTATCCCTGGGTT